AATATTAGGGGGACAGAGGGAGTATATTTATGAACTATAGACATGGCAACTTGGGTATAGTCGATTGTTGATTTATAAGACGAGACCGTGCGCATAATTTTTGCCCAATTAGTCGTATCCTCAGTTTGCGGAATAATTCCAGTTAGAGGTGGTCAGTTCCCGATTTCGAGCCGAGACCGTCTGGTCCTGAAAAAACTCTGGAAAGCGGATTTGACTCGCTTAGTTCCAGCTACCTGGTAAGTTTGGTCCCAACACCGAACTCGGTTCATGTTTTTTTTTTAAACTTTTTGGCCGGTTCGAAGCCTAAAAATAAAAAATAAAACAAATTATGAGTCGAGACCGAAACCGGGATTGAAACCACCCAAGTTGGTCCCCAAAATCGTAAATGATGAAACGGTTAGCAACACAAGAGGGGGGGGGGGGTGAATTGTGTGTGTGGAAACGTGGCAGTTTTTCGCCAAGTTCTAGTGTGGGGTAAAGGGATATGCGAAATAGTAAAGTGCACAAGGATTTAACGAGGAAATATCCCTTGGCTCACAGGGATTAAAAAACCTCGACCTCCCTCGGAGGAATTTTGACAACTTCACTAAGAAGCCTTAGAATGATTACAAGGGAAACTCTCCTAGTCTACCCTTGAGCCACCCCAACTCTATCCTCTCTAGGAAGAGTTACGCTTCTCTACCTTGCGGGTAAAGAGCCTCTCAGCTTTACAACAAAGCTCTCACAACACTTAATCCAACCCGGGGATGCTACACTTAGCCAATCCTCAAAACCCCATTACAATATGAAGAAGGGAAAGAAGAAACTATATCTAGAACTCCGAGTGAGCAGTTTCAGACGCCTTGGACTTTGATATTGCTTTTGTGAATATGTCTCTTAAGATTTGTCTCGGTCAAGCTCCTCTTTATTTCTCTTTGGCTGCTTCGTTTATATAGGCAGTCTTGGGCAGACCGTTTGAGCATCCTTCCTTGAATAGTTGATCTTCTAATCTTGTGACTTGCCATGATATTTTGAATTGCTTTCCTTTCATAATATTTCTCATAGTCAAGCTCAATATATAAGGCAGACAAATAAAGATATTTAAAATATCACAACTATAAATTCACAAGCAATATCCGTATAAAGAAAGATAGTTACGTTAATTCACTTATCACCAAACCATATATAATTTAGTCAAGAAGTCTTTCCAAAAGTAATAAATTATTTACTTAAAAATAGACATGCACGGTCAACATGCAATCATGCATTAGCACTTAAAGATCCTTTAAGATATTCATTTTAATCTCTCAATCAAAGATAATAATTCAAACCGTAAGGTAAAAGAATATTTACTTAACAAATATAAGTTTATCATGGTCAACTCTTATAGAGATAGCAAGGCACTTAATTAGCACACATAGGTATGTTATGGTCAAAAGGATTCTTTCCATAAAGAATTAGACTAATTTGAGTGGGTATCCCATCATGCATGGAAAAAGACTGTATTACGTATAATTATAATATGCATGACTACATCAAATAAGATCTTGACACGTAGGTGACAATTCAACCCAACCATAGTATTATTATGCAAGCACATATTAATCATGTATGTCACCCGTTCGCACAGAACAGAACTAAGGATAGTTCTGTCTTTCGTTCCGTATGGAACTGATAGTGGTTATGTTGGTCGTTCCACCTGCATGGTTAGTTATCAACAAAACATATATGTCCGTTGTAGGATAGTTCCGGGTTCAGGTCTACGGCTTGTTCCAAAGCACGACTTATCTTCCTTTCCTGCAATCACTTATAGACAAAAAGTAACACTAGTCGTTTGTCATCAACAAAACAATATGTTCCAACAGTAAACCACGACCGAGAGCCGCTCTATGACAGGCATGGCTAGTTCAAGGCTTGAGACCATTCTAAACGGACCAGGTCCGATCCAAACAGTGTCGGATCGGGTCCACATACTCTCAGCTATCCCTTGTCTCTAGATACCACTAGCGGTATTTTGGTGATATATCAGTAGTGAAAAAAGTAACAATAATTACTATAATATTATATAAGAGCATCTTCAATGGTAAGATGTTAACGTTACTAAAAACTGCCGCGTCATAAATGTCAACATTGCTTCTCTTATTTATGTCTCCAATGCAATATTTTTGAGGCCATACGATGCTGATTTGTCAAAGACACTGTTACGGTGACTGTCTTGGAATAACATTGTGTTTGACATGCTGACTCAACATATTTCATTAGAAAAATGCCGTAAAAATGTAGAAAACTATGAAAGTCTTCTCATCCACAAAAAACCATATGCACCGAACCAAATCCGCCACCCAGGATATATGTGTCCAACAAGTAGTGGGTTACTCTTCTCTTCCACAAAATAGTTCGTGCATATCATATCAAGAATGAAGCACTTCCACTTTAGAGTTTACAACGTAGCAGATTTTTGTTGGGAAAAATTTTAATTTATTGTATATATGTTTTCCGTATCCACAATTTTTCTCTTAAAATTACTTCTTCTTTTCTTAAATAAATTTCACGATCACATTTTCTGATCTTTCTCTTTGCCGCTGGTTAATTCATTCTTTTTTAATGGAACGTGCAAGCCGAACATGGAATTGAAGAGGTTTGACATGCAGTTGATGATTTTTATTTTAAAGCAAAAGGCTTACTCGTAAAGCATCCATATTGTCGGTTAACATAGAGAGCATTGGACAAGATTTTTGGATTCCACCGTCTATTTATATGATGTGGATGGACATTCCATTTATTGATTGACATGTGTCAAAATTTACTCAATGTTAACACCGTAGCATTAAAGATGCTCTAATAATACTAATAACAATAGATAGATAGATAGATAGATAGATAGATAGATAGATAGATAGATAGATAGATAGATAGATAGATAGATAGATAGATAGATAGATAGATAGATAGATAGATAGATAGATAGATAGATAGATAGATAGATAGATAGATAGATAGATAGATAGATAGATAGATAGATAGATAGATAGATAGATAGATAGATAGATAGATAGATAGATAGATAGATAGATAGATAGATAGATAGATAGATAGATAGATAGATAGATAGATAGATAGATAGATAGATAGATAGATAGAATTTGTAGGAATTTAGGTGATTTGCGTGGTGGATTATATAATAATCAAAATAACTAAAATTGAGGTTACTTTTCTGTCTATATTGGGTGAAGTTAGTATTGAGATCATCTTAGCTATTTCTCATATATATTTTTCTTTATTTTGTTGTTAAAATATATATTTTAGGGAAAATGGAAATTAATAATCCAACCTTTTAGCGGTCTTCTTTCAATAATCCCATCTTTTGATTATTCATGAATAATCCAACCTTTGCACCTCATCTTCATTCATTGGTCCCTGGTCGGTTAATGACCTACTATTCCAAGTTATTTTCTTATCTTTGCAAAATATTATCTTTGTGAAAGATGAGATTTATGGTATAATGATTTGCAAACATAAGAAAATAGCTTGGAATAGCAGGTCATCAACCGGTCAGGGACCAGTGAATGAAGATGAGGTGCAAAGGTTAGATTATTCATGAATAACCAAAAGGTTGGATTATTGTAAGAAGAACGCTAAAAGGTTGTATTATTAGTTTCCATTTTCCCTATTTTAAATACGTAATACGAAGTATATCTTTTTTTCCCCATAATTCAGCAGATTCAGTCAATTAGCCGTTTCAATCAGAACTTTATCAATTTTAAGAATTTTCAGCAAATTTAATTAATTCAAATATATATTGTATTTTCAGCAATTTTAAGAAGTTTGAGAATATATATTGTACTATTGTCGTAGAAATTGGAAAAGTTGTGGAAATATATACTTCTACGTACGTAACATACTCTACATGGAGGGCTACATGACAAAACAAATACGGAGTAACAAAGAACTAAGGGGCTATTCAGCTATTCTATTTCCGATAGCGAATGCCGACTTAGATAAAAGAAATTAATGAGATTACTGCCACATTGGCATATGTACCAAAACATTTTGCAATGTAAATGCACCGTAGAGTTTCCCTAAAATCAGTGGGCTGTTGACCAATTTTCGTTTTATAAATATAGTTGGCGTGTTCAGTTTTAAGCATATTGAATAATTAGTCAAGCACAAGAAAAACTGTGTGTCGTCACTCTATCATTGATTGACTACAGCTTTCTAAAATTCTAGATTCTAATATAAGCTAATTGAGCGTTGATGTAAACTACAGCTAGCCGAGGTTTCATTGGATTTTGTAGTGTTATCTATATTTTGCATATATATCATATATAGGAGTATTTGGTAAAGAGCTCAAATGATCTTTAGGCAACTTCAAAATCCAATGAATGATAGGAAGTTCTTGAACTTGAAGGATTCTGTTATTGGGTTTGTGAAATTGGATGATAAAGCTAATGTTCTTCCCCTTTACTACTAAAATGGTAGAAATAGTGATGTAAATTGGACAATAATAATACTCTTTTGTAGTTCTTAGGCCCTCTGCAAGGGTTCGTTTTTTTTGCTCAAATATGGAGCTTCTTGCTATGTATATTCATGGGTTCTGATAATTGGACCGTTAGAAAACACACTAACTCAGAATAATGATAACAGCTACGGGTACGTAGTACACCCATATGCTGGATTGAAGTTGTTGACTCTTTTCTTTCTTTCTTTCATTACTATATGAAGAGATGATCTATTTCATCTCTTTGGATGACTAGACACTCATATTCATTTTTTTCATATCAGGTACCGAAGATATTAAGATAGTTTGCATGTCCGGGGACAGGGGTGGAGTCAGGGCACTGAGCTAGACCGGCTGGGCTGAGATCAGGTACCGAATATATTCTTTTCAAATATACAAAGAATATATTTGAAATTTTTTTTGCCCAGAATTTTTTACACTAAAAATAAAGACATTTTTAAAATTTTGGCTGGGCTAGGGCCAATGTTGGCCCTCCCCTATCTACGCCCATGTCCGGGGATTTCTCCGCAAGTCTGAATAGAATGTAAAAACCTCAACATATTTCTCTGTCAGTTGTGCTTTATATTATTAGTTTGAAATATCATTAGTTAGATCCACAAAATCGTGTATTTATTTTCAACTTAAATGTTGAAATCTCCTGCATAATTGCACTACTTTTGGGGGGATTCGGAGTCTCTACCTTACTTTAGAGTAAGGTAGAGTGTCTTGCTTCCTCCCGGTCGTCCGATCCACAACTCAACGGTCGGAGATCTTGAGCTCCACTTTTTCACCAATCTCGAGGCCGTGTTGGCCGCTCCCCTCCCGTCCGATGTGCAAGTCAGCTTCCTAGTCGGGTAGAGGATTCCAATCCCTTTTGGGGAGGCTCATTCCTGCTCAAATGCCTAAACATTTTTCAGCTGCACAATTCGGTAATCTGCATTTATGGCTCAAGCTTAATGTATCTTCGTTCATCTATTCATTGCATCTTTCATTTCTCACCGAACAATCTCCTTTCTCTCTTTCATCGAAAATCACAAGAGTTCAAGCACTCGGAAATCTATCCTTTCGGCTGTATTACAGTTTACATTCCGGTAGATTTTATCATTTACTTTCCGATTGAGAATATAAAACATTTCTATCGTTTGTTCCTCGATCAGCCGAGGTGCATTCGTCATTCTGCCGCCCAATCCATTTCGCATCTCTATCAATGCGGTTGGCCTTGAAAACTTATGATTTGGTTTCTCACTTCTCTCCTTTATTTATTAGCCGGAATGTTTCATTCGCGGTTTGGAAGGGTTTCTTCACCATCTGGGGTGTCATGTTTGTGGAGATTTTACTTTGATTTCATAAGCTTTTGTTAATTAGCTTCCACATTGTTACTTTCCAATCTAGGTATATACGTAGACAGTATATACGATAGTATATCCTCAACAGTGATCACGAACATGGGGTTACAAGGTGAATTTCCTCGCAGTAAGTATAGGTAATTTCAGCCCATCTTCTATTCTGTTTTTCAATCTCCAATTCATGTTTCAGTTTTCTTTTGGGAGAAGGGTCAGATATGGCCTCGAACTTGAAAAAAAATGTCAAATAAGGTCATATTTAGGATGCTATGTCCGGTTGACGCCATTTGGGGCGGTTCCCGGTGGAATTTTTTGATGAATTTTTTTGAGAATCTTATTCATTAAGTCTAGTTTACTCATATCAAATTTGAACTAACAATTTATTCGGGAAGGCATTCAAATGAATTCTTGAAGATTACTGCGCTTTTAACTGCACAGTTATCTTGAAGAATTCATTTGAATGTCTTTCCGATTGAAGTTTTAGTTCAAATTTGATTTGAGTAAACTAGACTTAATGAATAAGATTCTCAAAAAATTTCATCAAAAAATTCCATCGGGAACTCATTCCATTGAGTTTCGAATCCTTATGTTTCGAACTCAAGACCTCCCACTAAGCACAATAACCTCACAACTAGGGGTGGACCCGGGCAAGGCCGGACCCGGTTCGGGCCTGGGCCCGACCGGGCTTTTATTTGAGAATGGGTGAACCGGAACCGGCCCGGGTGGCCGGCGGGTCCGGGTTCGGCCGGGCCTCGGGCCACTTCCTATTTTTTGTTTTTACTTTTCTAATTAATCCCTGACCCCCCTCACCCCCCCCCCCCAAACCACCCCAAATGGCCCAAAACACCCAGCCCAACCCAGGAAAATAAAAAAAAAATTGAAAAAAACAAAAAAAGAAAACAGAAAAAGGCCCGGAATCGGGCCCGGCCGGGCCGGTTCGTCTATTGGGTGACCCGAATCCGCACCGTAAAACCACCGGGCCGGGCCTACCTGGACCGGTCCCTGGCCGGGCCACCGGTTCGAGTTGGTTCCAAACCGTGCCGGTTCGGGCTGGTTCTGGGTCGGGCCACCCGACCCGAGTCCATGCCTACTCACGACCAGCTGGGCTGAAATGCTTGATTTTTGTTTTCCATCCTTCAAATAGAATAATTTTCTTTGGATTCCCCTGCCCTCAAACAAGTTACTTTTTCCTATAGCACTTTAACACTAAAATAACCTAACTTCAATTTTCCTCACCTTTTGGCTATAAAACTAAGAGTTTTATTTTGAGGAATACATTGTGAGTTCTCAGAATATATTGCAATAATGTGAAGTTTTTAGCAGCTTAAATAGGTTTGTTGCTAATGGTGATGTTTTTCTTCTCTAAAGTCTAAACTAGATGAATGAAGACATTAAAGTTTTATTTTTTATGAAATCATATGTACACATATACTCTATGAATTGTTCTATCTTTATCACAACATTTTTATATATTCATAGATAATTTATTTATTGCTTAGTAACTACATCCCGTGCGAAGCACGGGTGAAAAATCTAGTTGTATACAATTCCACAAAATGCAATCCACTTGCAGGACAAAGGAATATCAATGGCGATGGAGGTTGAGCTCTGAAAGTGAATGGCGGACAACCACTGGCCATCTACGTTCATCAAGACATGTATCGTTGGAGATTGATTTGGAGAAGACACGATTTCCACAATTTCTGAAACAGGAAGAACGAATAGAAGAAAGGAAAACTTATTTGGAATTCATCGAAACAAGCAGAAGAGAACGAAGGTTGAAGACGAGAAGGAATCGTGATGAAATACAGTTACCTAATTTAGTGGATTTGGAAACAAATGCTTAAACAGATTTGGTATAAAGATCTCTGACCGTATGGTTGACTGAAGGGTAGCGATGGAATTAAAAAAAATTAACGTATGGGATGCGTATGATCGATGATTCGGGTAACATAGATTAGGAAAAGAAACTTTGAGGTCATATTTTGAGAAACTTCAGGACTTCTAGTAATACTAGGGACAAATATCTCAAGTATGTTTATGTAGAGAAATCATCATGTCAGGCCGGCCTGCCAGTAGAGCCGTCTGGCCGAGCCCTTTTGGAGACCTTCCCGGTGGATTTTTTTGATGAATTTTTTTGAGCATATTGCTCATCAAGTATTGTTTGTCCATACCAAATTTCAGCTCACAATTCGATCGGGAAGGCATTCAAAGCATTTTTGAAGTTGACTGTGTTTCTATATGTATATTTTGACGCAGTCAACTTTAAAAAATGATTTAAATGTCTTCACGATTGACATTTTAGCTGAAATTTGGTATGAATAAACTAGACTTGATGAAGAACATGCTCAAAAAATTTCATAAAAAATTCTATCGGAAAGCTGCCCAAACGGGCTCGGCCGGACGGAGGTTCCCGTCAGACCGGCATGACAAGAAGAGTTCTCTATTCACGTATATCAATGTGAACAATGATTTATGGAATTGAAAGGCCGGTGGGTTAGATAAAGAATTAGTGATAGTATTACAGAAGTGTTTCAATATTAGAAATCTTTTGGGATAATCACATTACACTTTTCTCGTTTCTCTTTATGAAATATTTATGTGAACAAAATTCATTTACTTTTTCCTTACTCAATTGTAATTATATATATTTACTTTGATAAGCGTGCTAAGTAAAATTAGAAAGAGCTTTTGAGACTCTCAAGAGTAATAGATTCTCATGGACAAATTTTACACTCCTAGATAATATAAAATTATATATACTTCTCTTGAATTCTCTCATACTCTGCAATAGATCTCACACGACTTCCTCCTCTCGAGTTTTCTCTTCCTCTCGTCTGTACCTTATGAAGAACAACTCGACCAAATTAAGTAATCTTTTTGGGATTTTTTTTCACATGTTGAATGATTATTAGGAACTTTTAGTGGCAGACGAGTTTATTGTTTTTGTTTATTTTTCTCTAACTATAAAACAGCGACAAAAAATGTCATCGTTGTTACGGAGGCAATAATTCGCAATTCAACTTACTGTTAAAGCTAAGCTTATTACTATGACATTGTTTGGTTTTTATTGGTTTATTGTACTTACTGTTATATTTTTTCAATGGCAAAAAATAGACAACTTTGCTACCTACCCCTATGAGAGGTTGCTTTTTGTTTGTGAATTCCGTTCACAGATAAAACAAACATGTTTTTGTCTATGTATTAGTTTGTTTTTTCTGTGAATGAGATTCACAGACAAAAAAAAAACTATCACAGGGGTGGGTATAAGGGTGACTATAAGGGGGTTGTACAGGGAGAATTTTCCAAAATTAGATACATTGCAAGTGCACATAAATTAGAGAAGACACAAATTGCTATTTTTTTTGTACTTATAGTTGTATCATTTATTATGTTATCATAAAAATGTACCAATTATTTTATATTTAATAAATAAAACAATTCAAAAGTTAGTATTTTGGAAATGTGAGAATGCCATTTCAGCTAATTTTCTAATAGAAACACGATAGAAATAATAACAAGAATAGTACTTAAAGAGTTAAAGGTATTGAATAGGCAAATATAGGACTAATGTAATACATACATAGAACACTTAAAAGAAGGCACACCTTTCTATGTGTACCTTCTTTTAAGAACGCATATATGTTATAAGTTTCATCGTGAAGCATGCTTATATGGAATAGTCTTGAGGATGTGTGAATATCTGTGAAATTTCTCAAGAAGAGTACGAGTGAGGACAAAATGAAGATAATTAAAACTTGTGTTGAGTACGAGTGAGGACAAAATGAAGATAATTAAAACTTGTGTTGGTTTGCATGTGAATGCAAAAGTAGATATGGAGAATATCAAGGAGTAATGACTTTAGACTTGACGGGGTCGTGGTGTTACAAGTTATATCAGAGCACCGTACCACCACTGATGTTGCATGTTTAGATCATGATAAACAAAGAACATGATCTGCATGTTTGGAAACTCACCTATTTCCTTGAAAACAAAGAAGCACACCACAATGTCTTGCTCTTTTGCTAAAGCAGAGTACCTTCCATGACCACTTTAACTTGTGAATTGCTATGGGCCAACAGCTAGCCTTCTTTGAACATTGGGATTTCTCATGCCACTATGACATTATTGTGTTAATCAGGCAACACTACATATTGCTTCTAATCCTATTTTTCATCAACGCACCAAACACATTGAGATTCATGGTCACTTTCTTCGGGATTATGTTTTTTTCGGGATTATATTACTCATAGTGTCATTACTCCTCTACTCCTATTTTACATGAACGCATCCAAGACATTGTACTAGACCGGTCGGTTCCGGTCCAAAAAAAACTCAATCCGATACGGATACGTGTTAGAGGCCACCCTTGGGACCGATTTCCTAACCAAATCGGAAAATTTGCTTTGTCCTAGTCCTACATACCGGACAATTCCGATTACGACCGATCCACTCCTAATCCACATGCAAATATACCATTTCCCGTTGGAATTCTCGCAAAATATTTGATACCAAAAATGTTAATGTAAACATTTTATATGCTCACAAATATCTACTGTCACATACAAGAAAATTATTGTCACAAATCATTTTCTATAGAAGAACAAACCAATATTTATTGAGAGACAATAGTTATGCACTTATATGAGTTAGACATTTACAAATTTTTGAATTGGACATAGATTTATGTAAAGAGACATGAGTTCTCTATGTGAGGTGTACAAAAGGCGTACACAGAAGGGATGCAGATGACATTTTGACATTTTCTATTGGCTAAAGTTCAAATTTCAATTTTTGCAGGTAGTAGTTTGGTCACTGTCACTTCACCGTCAGATGCCAACCGTATATCCCTCGTGGCAGTTTAAGGGGTCAAATAGGCTCCTGAATCCGACTGAGTTGTTCAAAATTATCCCTCAACCGTTAAATGTGTCAATTTGAAAAAAATAAAAACACAAAATTAAAAATAGAAAATATAAATATAAAATAAAATACAAGTCAGAAGTACAAAATATTTTCATCTTTAAATAATATTATAAGGAAATATTTATATCTTGGGGAAATAAAAAAAGTAAACTAAAAGAAATTCTTTAAATTTATTTCCATATTTATATATTTTTTTAGAAATAAAAAATATATGTTACGTAGTATTACTTATTAATATTAAATTTGTATTTCATGTATGATATGAAATATTTTGTAGTATAAAACATTTTTAGGGTTTTTATTTTACAAATTATATTATTTTTATGCTTTAGACTTGTATTTTTTCGTTTCATATTCTTTATATGTTGTATATTTATGTGTAAAATTACACACACATGCATATATGTATGTATATATTATTTTATTTTATTTTCCAATTATATTATATACTTCATACTAAATATATACACCATATAAAAATGTATATACTACTCCCTCCGTCCCTTTTTATTTAGCCAAACACCTTTTTCAAGTCAAAGTTGTTCAACTTTGACCGATAATATATTTATACATGGTAATATTGATAGTATGAAAATTATATGAAAATATTCTTTATTAAAAATACTATCATAAAAGTATAAAATTATTAAATTTCATATAAATATATTAGTTAAAATAATGGATCAAAGTTTATCACATTTGACCAGAAAAAGTCAAAGATGGCTAAATAAAAAGAGACAGAGGTAGTATATGAATAGTATAATACCAAAATAGTTATTACATTTTTATATTATTTATTTAAAAATAATTCATTATCCTTTATTTTTATTTTGAATTCACCGTAAATCTAAAAATTTATTTATTATATTATTAAATAGATGTCTATATTTTATATCATCAACTTGTATTTTAATTTATATTTGTATTTTCTATTGTTAAATGTCTTATTTTTTATTTTATGCAATTTTGACATTTTTTAATGGTTGAAGGGATAAATAGAACATCTTGGTTGGGTTTAGAGGCTTATTTGACCCTTAACATGTCACGTCGGATGCACAATTGACATCTGACCGGCTGACGTGGCGTTGACCGGGTTAATTGAGCATTTTGAATCGAAACAAGGGCCTATTTGACATTTTGACCATTTCTCTTTTTCTATTTGGTAATTGGTACGTAGCAGATTCATTGGATCCGTCATCGGATAGTAGATTAAGTAGAACTAAGAAAGATTCAAATGTACAACCAAATTAAAGTCTAAGAAAATTAATAAATTAAACCATATGTTAGTGATTTTACTGTATTTAAATTGAATGAGTAAGATGGGATCCTACAATTTAGGATGCAACCCTGTTTGATGTGTCAAACAAACACGAACTATCCAAGTCACCTGACTAGACAAAGAGATTTTGGCATTGATTAGTTGAGAAACAGGCTCCACCTGAGTTGTCATGAGAATCTTTGTTCACATGAACTTTCATAACACATCAGGCACTGAGCTGAATCAGGGAAATCAATGGACAAAGCACAACTACTACACCAGGAGCATATATTCATCTGCACAGAGTAGAGATTCATCTACTCCGTATATAGTGTTTTAGAGGGGTTGGGGCTTGAAAGTTTATGTAGCGGGCTAAAATTTACTTTATTCGTGTCGTTAATACTTAAAGAAATTGCCCTAAATGGGACTAAAACATTGCTTAAACTCTAAATTAGGACTTCAAGTTTGTTATTCCCTAAATGGGACTAAAGATTACCGTTTTACCCTTATAACTTAAGATGATGCGTGACTCTCCTTATGCCCTCTCTCCAATCGATCGCCGATTTGTTCCATTCGACCTCAATGGGCTGGAACTCATCTGTCAACAATTGCTTCATCTACAGCTCTGTCATCCACCATAGCCACGTACCACACCACCACCACCTGTAGTAATCCTCTTCCCTTCTTCTTCAGCCAAGTCAGGTGGGTAATCTTCTTCCCTTCTTCTTTTTCTACTTCTTCATTTCCTTTTTCTTCTTCTTGGATTTGAATTTTATTTATTAATTTGAAATATGAAAATATTAAAATCCCAAGTTTAGTAAGGAGTATATGTCTTGCAGACCTCCAATGAAAATGTCAAGAATAATGACTTGATGATGGAAGTTTCGTATAAAAACATGACATTCTTTGTTGTAAAAAGTATGAATTTTTAAAATGAAAATTAATGACAATTTAAGGATGAAAATTCTAACATCATTTGGAGAACATGTCAAAAGACGTGTCATTTCTAATAACAAGCAACTATGTCATTCTCAGATAAGTCATAAAAATGCCATAAAATGTCATAAGAATGACATTTTTTATGGAGATATGACATTTCCAGATTGTCATCTTGATAAATATACTGTCACAAATGTGGCAGATTTTTCAAATAATCAATGATTTTGACATTCTCATATTATGAAAGTGACATTTTGTTGAATAAATACAATTCAAATTAAAAAAAATCAAAACCAAAAAATTCAAATGTTATGGGTGTTTAGTAATTCGTTGAAACTTATTAGCTCCAATTTCATATTTTTAGTGTAGAATCTTAAAAGTTCATAAATTAGAAGAGAAGATAAAACCAGACAAAAGATGCCCTGGAAGAAGAACAAGAGAAG